TGCTGTCCTACAGGGTTGCTGTGAGTTAGTAAGGTTGGAGTTGAAGAACAAGTTGTGGCAATGGTCATGGTAAGAGATAATGAGAATTATCAAAATTTACAGCTGAAATAGTCTTTGTGGACAAAGAGGCTTATTCCAATGGGATTGAGGACATAGGGAATCCCAACAATCCCCCTATTGTTTTAAGATCATTGTCCATAGGCTTTTTTAGAGCTGCAAGTCTATTTGAGAATTTGCTTTCTGCTCTGGACATTTTCTGAGGATAGCAGGAAGTTCTCGTTCAGAAGGCCAGCACATGGTCGTGCAGAGGAATGAAAGGAAGATTAGGAGAATGGACTAAATGGAAAAATTGGAGCAAGGGCTGTTCCTAGAACTGGGAATGACTGGGACAGACATTAGAGTACTTTTTAGGGACAAAGATAGATGTTTTGAGTTGATGATTCTGGTTTGTCTTTCTATGTTTTGATGTTAAAAGCAAAATGTCTCAAATCTCCATTATGTGAAGCTAAAATTTAGAACCATTTGAGATTTAACCAGATTTTCTTAAATTCATGTAGATCTATTTTTTTAGGTAATACATTGCTTTTCATAAGTGGTTCTCCAGACTTACTAAGAAGCAGAAGATCACAGCCTCTCTAGCGAGAAGGAGTTGTCAGGAACTCAAAGAAGCTGAGAAATGGAGGATGGAGTCAACTGCTGTAGAGAAACACTCACAGAGAGAATGACTGGGATGTGCCTGGCTATTTTTCAAAATTGATATGAACCACTGACTGCTACATACACCTCTTGTTGCTCCCATTTTGAATCAGAGTGTTAATTGCATTTGTCGTATGTCTGTTTCAACATTGCATGATTTTTTTTTGAATAATACTTTATTGTGTTTTCAGTTACAGTCTACACAGCAGTTTAGGTTCCCATTCAACAGTTTCTACACAAATTGTTCAATGACATTGGTTACATTCTTCACAATGTGTGAACATTCTCATTATTATCGTTCTGGTTGTTCTGTTTCCGTTAAGCTAGTTTCGCTGCCCCCTTACATTTTCATCTTTGTTTTAAAGTAATTGTTGACCCTTTGGTCTCACATAGATAATTTTTTAAAGGAGCACAGTACTCACGGGTGATATTCTTTATTTTGTGAACCAATCTGTTATTTAGCTGAAAGGTGACCTCGGGTTAGTTAGGTTCAAGGTTTAAAGAGTATCTCTGTACAATAGTCTCGGGGAGTCCCCAGCCTTAACTGGTCCAGTAAGTTTGGATATTTTAAGAATTTAAGGTTCTGTTCCACAGTTTTCTCCCATTCTATCAGGATCCATCTGTTGTGGCCCTGATCAGAATGGTTGGTAGTGATAGACAGGCACCGTCTAGTTTTTCTGGTCTCAGGGTAGTTGAGGCCATGGTTCATGTAGACTATTAGTCTCTATAGTCTAGTTTCTTCTCTGAGTCTTTGGTTTCCTTATTTCTCTTTTGCCCTAGATGAGTAGAGACCAATAGTTGTACCTTAGATGGTAGAGACCAAGAGTTGTACCTTAGATGGTCGCTCACATGTTTTAAGACCCCAGGCATTACTCACCGAACTGGGATGTAGAACATAAACTTTATGAACTATATTATCAGCATTGTATGTTTAGTGTGAATGGGGCAGCTAACTTGTCTCTTTGGTGCACATATGGAGAGGAACTAGACAATTTATGCTCTAGTAACCTTATGAACAGCTGGTCCTGATACAGATGATGACACGCTGGACTTCAATTTGGAGCCTGTTACTGTGACTAAATGAAATTTGAGGACTTTTGAGACAAACAGGTCAGTGTTTTTAACATGTGGAAGGTGTGTAAGTCATTGTGTCACAAGAGTGAAACAATAGCTAGTCTTCAAGGATGGCCCCCAATTGTCCGCAACTCACAATAGCACAGTAGATCCTTCAGAAAACTCAACTCTCTGCCATAATCTGAAGCCACATAACACATTACCCACATGAGCCCAGTAAAACCACAAATGTGGGAGAGATAATAATAAATTGTTTCAAACAAGTATGTTTTGGAGGAAGTTTGCTATGCTGCAATCCTTAACTGGAATAAGTCTAAGCTAGAGTTTGGTCACTGCATCCATGTGTTTGTAAATAATGATTGTTCCAGTAGTAAATTACATCCTCCCTGATGTAAAACCCCGGAAGTTTAGTTCTAACCATATGCCCCAGATTTCTATCCACACAAATTGGAAAATATTGCAATTCTTTGGATAGAAGAAAAAAGGTATTCCTTGAAGGCAAGCATCGAACTTCTGTGGGTCTCTGACTATTCCTTGGACTGAAAATTCCAAGTGCTGAGTTTGTCATTTTTCCTCCGCAGATTCATCCACTGCATTCTGCATAAAGCCAGGCACAGTGTTGATGCTAAACCTTCACAGAATGAATGAAAGAATTAAAAATTTTTACTGATTTTTCTCGAATCATAGTTTCTTTCAAAAATATCCAATTATAAGTCCATCAAATGCGGAAGAGGCTGTCTTTTTAACAAATGGTCTAGCAAAACTGGATGTCCATCTGCAAAGAAATGAAATAGGACCCATACCTCAAACCATACTCAAAAACTAATTCAAAATGGATCAAGACCTAAATATAAAACCCAAAACTATAAAGATGATAGAAGAAAAAATAGGGTCAACACTAGATGCTCTAATACACGGCATTAACAGGATACAAACCATAACTAACAATACACAAACAGAAGATAAGCTCGATATCTGGGATCTTCTAAAAATTAAACACTTATGCTCATCAAAAGACTTCACCAAAAGAGTAAGAGAACCTACAGACTGGGAAAATTTTTTTGCTATGACAAATCCAGCAAAGGTCTAATCTCTAAAATCTACAGGAAGATCCAACACCTCTACAACAAAAAGTCAAATAATCCAATTAAAAAATGGGCAAAGGATATGAACAGACACTTCACCAAAGAACACATTCAAGCAGCTAACAGACACATGAGGAAATGCTCCGATCAGTAGCCGTTAGGGAAACGCAAATCAAAACTACAGTGAGATACCATCTCACGCCAACATTATTGGCAAGAATAAAAAAAAAAAAAAACAGAAAATAACAAATGTTAGAAAGGTTGTGGGGAGACTGGAACTCTTATACACTGCTGGTGGGAATACAAAATGGTACAACCATTTTGGGAAACAATATGGCACTTCCTTAAAAAGTTAGAAATAGAAATACCATATGATCCAGCAATCCCATTCCTAGGGATATATCCTAGAGAAATAAGAGCCATCACATGAATAGACATAGGCACACCCATGTTCATTCCAGCATTGTTCACAATAGCAAAAAGATGGAAACAACCTAGGTGCCCATCAGAAGATGACTGGATAAACAAACTATGGTACATACACACAATGGAATACTACGTAACAATAAAGAACAATGATGAATTTGCGAAGCATCTCACAACATGGATGAATCTGGAGGATATTATGCTGAGTGAAATAGGTCAACCACAAAAAGACAAATATTGTATGAGACCACTACTATAAAAACTCATGAAAAGATTTACACTCGAAAAGAAATAATCTTTGATGGTTATGGGGGAAGGGGTTGGGGAGGGAAAAACACTAAATAGACAATAGATAAATGGTAACTTTGGCGAAGGGTAAAACAGTACACAATACTGGGGAAGCCGGCACCACTTGTACAAGGCAAGGACGTGGAAGCTCCACAGACACATCCAAACTTCCTGAGGGACCAAATTACTAGGCTGAGGGCTGTGGGGACCATGGTCTCCGGGAATCTAGCTCAATTGGCATAACATAGTTTATAAAGAAAATTTTCTACATTCTACTTTGGTGAGTGGCATCTGGGGTCTTCAAAGCTTGTGAGTGACTATATAAGTTACTCCACGGGTCTCCTCCTGTCTGGAGCAAGGGAGAATGAAGAAAACCAAAGACACAAGGGAAAGATTAGTCCAAAGGACTAACGGACCACAACTGTTACAGCCTCCACCAGACTGAATCTACCACGACTAGATGGTGCCCAGCTACCACCACCAACTGCTCTGACAGGGATCACAATAGAGGGTCCTGGACAGGGCCAGAGAAAAATATAGATCAAAATTCTAACTAATTAAAACAAAACAAAACAAAAAACCAGACCTGACTGGTCTGACAGAGACTGGAGAAACCCCGAGAGTTTGGCCTCCAGACACGCTGTTAACTCAGTAATGAAGTCACTCCTGAGGTATACCCTTCGGCCAGATTAGACGGGCCCATAAAACAAAATGAGACTAAATGGGCAAGTCGGCCCAAGAGCAAGGACAAGAAGGCAGGAGGGGACAGGAAAGCTGGTAATGGCGAACCCAAGGTCAAGAAGGGGAGAGTGATGACACGTTGCGGGGTTGGCAACCACTCTCATAAAACAGTATGTGTATTAATTCTTTAATGAGAAGCTAATTTTCTCTGTAAACTTTTATCTGAAGTACAATTAAAAAATAATAAAATTAGCTTTAAAAAGCAAAAAAAAAAAAAAACAAAAAAAACCTAGTAGAAGGGTTTAAAAATCTTCTCTTATTCATTCCCTGCCTCTAAGGCAGGACTACCTAATCATTTAAAAGGAGATTCCACTGTATCCTTCAACTCTTAACAGTTATTACTGGTTTGTTGTTATTGCTAATTATGTTCTAAGATTTAAATTGAACAATAAAAAGAAATTATAGCTTTGTGGTCGTAGACAGCTGCCTAACGTCTCAGTATAGTGGTCTAAAATTGGGGAAAGATTGTTGGTTCAGAGTGCCTGACACATAATAAGCACCATATTAGGATGTTTTTGTCATTTCATTCTAGACATTACAATGATCTTGTTACTCACTCTATGTGCCAGAGACGGTTTATCCTTTTTGATTCCCCGATCCCTCCCACAGTACCCTTGTGTTCCTCTTGGTGATGACCACTTCCTCTTTGCTGGTTCTTTAAACGAGAACAAGATCCTGTTAAGTTTGCAGAACTTTTAATGACCAACTGTGGGGCAAGGGTGAGGAGGACCCCATTTTATTAGTGGGCTCTTTGAATTCCATGTTTACCAAGATGGAGAGAGCTCCTAGACAATGGGGAGTATGGTCACTTCCCTACCTTGGAGGCATCCACCGAAGTCAGGGAGATATCTTTCCACACCTGCATAATCTTCACAGACCCTGGCTAGGGTCGGTGAGCAAAGCTGTAACAATACTGGCCATTTACTATTACCTGCAAGAAGGAACATGTTGCAGAAAGAAATACAGTATACTACTGTACCAGCTTTCAGTCTTTCTTTCCTTGTTTGTCCCAGTACATACACCGTCCACCTGGAAAACTCCCAATCACACTTTAAAACCCAGCACATTACTGATTCTTACAGATTGCTTTTTGTGACTATATCAGACAGCTGTTCACTCTGTTTTCTGTGTTTCTTTCATTCCTCTGTGAGGTTCTGCCACTCTATACTGCACGATCTGTGTTGGCTTAACCTCCTCTCTAGCCTGGAAGCCCCCCCATGGCCAGGGATGTTGTCTCATGAATCTCTGAATCCCTGTATCTTTCCCAGCTTCTGTCACAGAGTAAGTTCTCAATAAATGTTCACTGAATGCATTATTTTTCAGTTCCACAAAGCTTTACTGCCATCTACCGCTAATGGCCCAGTTTCCTCTTTTAGGTAGCTCAGGTTTGGGATCTTGAAGTTAAAGAATGATACTCAAGTGTTCTTAAAGCCAAAGACTAGTACAGATGGCTCAAAAATGAGAAATTATTTTTAACAGCTTATAAGTATATAAAAAGACCTCCCACCTGAATCTTAACAAAATGTTAATATTTTGCCCATTCATTAAAAAAAATCAGAAAGTTGGAATATATTCTTTATTGGCAAAGTTATGAAGAAACAGCCACATTTTAGGAATTAAATCAAATTTAAAATGCACATACCTTTTGAACCAGCTATTCCATTTCTATGAAATTGTCCTCCAATATATTAGGATCTTGTAATGACAGAAGTGTTGTATAAAAACCTTATTGCAGTATCATTTGTAAGAGCAAACTATTGGAAACAACCTGAAAGTCCATTGTAAAGATCAATTAGTTTTTTGGTACATCCTTTTCATAGAATATTGTGCAATCAATAAAAAATAAGGCAGCACATTGTATAGAAACAATGGCAACAAATAAACACATGTTCCCAAAGTGTAATGCCTAGAAATCATATCAACATTTGTTTAAAAGAAATGAAAACTGTCATATATACATGTATGTATATATATGACATACACATACATCTATATCTGTTACATATATGCTTATATGAGCATAGATTATCTCTGGAAAGACAGTGAAGAAACTAGTAACAGTTGTCTTGGGGAGGAGGATTGGGGTTCAGGAGTGAGACGTTAGAGGAAGACTTCATTTTGGATTAATTAAAATATTTTATTCATATGCATATGTTAACCATCTAGCTGTATAAAAATGTAAACAACAGTACAGGTGGAAGTGATAGCTGTGGGTGAAGACAGAAGAAATTCTCCACCTTGGGGAAGTGGCATGTGCGCTGCCCTTTAACCCTGGGCAGATCTGGGAATAGAACAGAGCATGGCAGTACAGGCAGAGAGTGGTCTGTGAATGAAGCCTGGGGAGGAGTAGTTATTGCGATGACCCCAAGGGCCTCTTGGGGTCAGACCAGGGACAGCTGCATCCCTTCTGAGAGTTCCGAGAGGCCAGGTAGTGGGGGGTGCCCGGGCACACTCACCGGCTACTGATTATGCAGCACCCAGCTGCTCAGGGCAAAGGATTTGCAAAGGGCACGTGGAAGGCTCACCTCATTCCTCCAACCCCTGGCCTGAAGGCTGTTCATCACCGCACACTGGCCAAAGTAGACTCGGAAATGGAAGGCGATAACTGACTTCTTGTGAGTTCCATTGTGGAAATCCACCTGCACTTGCAGGTCCTTGCTGAAGGGCAAAGCACTGCATGTTGGGCACGTCCTTGATTGCCCCAGCACACACTCAACACACATGGACATATCTTTTCCCATCTCCACCCCTCTGTGGAACAGAGGCCTTTCTGGGGTGACGCTGTAGCCCTGGTGTCTGTGGGGCTGCTTCAGCTCATCCTGCCCAGGGTGGCAAGCTGCTCTATGCCTGATCCCAAGACCAACACTGAGCAGCACTCACTGACCAGGGCCTATTGATTGTCTCCTGAAAATTCTATGTCTTTTGATAAAAACCCACAGCCCCCACACCCTGAGTGGCCCCTGTCCCCAGACCCTCAGCCCTGCCCACAATCCAGGAACTGTAGGGTTAATGTCTGGCAGTGTAGGAGTCTTCAGGGCCTGCACCTGCACTGTGCCACCATCATGCTGATTAAACTTTTTTAACATCACTCATACTTGAGGTGACCTCTAAGCGCTAATATTCTCACGTCTCCTTTACCCCTCACCCATGGGCTATAGAATCTTCACCTGAAAGAGATGGCAGGTGTTTCCCTAATTGTCACCAAAGAAACAATAGACAAGGACAGATGCAGAGTGTATGGGACCTGTGGTGAGAGTCACAAAAGAAGATGAAAGGGGCAAGGACGAGTGTGACCTCCCTCCTACAATGTGCCTAGAAGCATATCAGGATAGAGAGCAAGGACACAATTCTGAGGGACCCTCTGTTCCCACTCCACCACAGTCAAGTCCCTGCTGTGTGAAAAGACACCAGGGTGGGAGGGGAGGGCGAATAGTTCAGAGCAAGAATTTCAGAGCTACATTCCCTGAGCGATATTATGCCAATTAACTGAGTTGTCCCACGAGACTATGGTCCTAAGCCTTCAAACCCAGAAAACCAACCTCCAGAGGTGTTTGCAGTGGTGATTTACCCTGCACTACTGTCCTGCTGTGTCAAGCGTGGGATGGATGAGGATTTTGACTTGTTTGTCTGAAATGGAGTCATTGTTATAGAGAACAACGATCCCTTGAGTTTCTTGGCTCTCCTGTTTTGTCTTTCCCCCAGAATCCTGGAGAGTACTTCCAAGGCACTAAGAAGGCCCTCATGGAGTCCTGGTGGCATAGTGGTTAAGAGCTACGGCTGCTAACCAAAAGCTTGGCAGTTTGAATTCACCAGCTGCTCTTTGGAAACCCTGTGGGGCAGTTCTACTCTGCCCTATACGGTCACTATGAGTCAGAATTGACTCAGTGGCAGTGGGTTTGGTGTTTTTTTTTTTGGAAGGCCCTCATAGGGTTGTTATAGGGTCACTATGAGTCGGAACTGACTCAACAGTAACTGGTTTTTTGGTTATGGTTTTGGTAAGAAGGCCCTGCCTCCACTTGCGTTGTGGGTATGACTCTGTGCTGGTTCTCTCTGGAATTTAAGCTTTAACTCCAACATGGTCATAGCACTCTTATTTTCCTCTTTTTACTGACCTTTCTCAAGATCTTAAGACAAGGATGGATTGGTCTAGAAGCAAAGGGGGAAGGCAAGGCAAGTCTGGTGATTCAGGGCACTGCTGTTGATTTTCACATGCCCGATTTTCATACTCTTGGGCCTGAGTATCTGTATGGGCCTCCCACCCCCAGAGAGTGCATGGAATAGGATGAGATCAAGTTGGCCAAGCTGACGCCAACTGCACTGAACCACCAAAGGCATCTCTCTGCAGGATTACATGGGGTCACAGGTCTGGTGGAAAGTCTCATGCTGGCTGCCATGGTATTTTCCATCTCCAGTGCTTTAGCCACTCCAAAGTGGTGCTTCATCTTATCCTGAGAATAAAACCCACTTCCATTTGAGTACAATCTTGTTTTTTTTTTTTATATATATTTTATTGTACTTCAGGTGAAGGCTTACAGAACAAATAGTTTCTCATGAAACAGTAGTAC